CAGAGGGTTGCGCGCACACCCGGCAAATCGCACTCTCGCCTGCATTTCGCGCACTCGACACGCACGATCTCCACAGAGGGTTGCGCGCGCAGCCGGCAAATCGCACTCTCGCCTGCATTTCGCGCACTCGACACGCACGATCTCCGCAGAGGGTTGCACTTTCGGTTGACGCTGTTCGTCCCGCCCTCCGCCTTTAAGAGAGAATTGATAAAGTGGGGAAATGTTTTTTGTTTTTTCATTAGGACATCTCCCGTGCTAGTTTTCCATACTCATACCTGCCTACTCATTGCATGCTGGCGTACCTACTCATTGCATGCTTGCGTACCCATCACTTGCTTACTTACACTGCGTGCTTGCCGAGTGTCAGTGTGTATGTGTAAGTGTCAGTGTCGAAGTGTCGGTGTATGTGGTGCGAATGTGGTGGAAGTGTCAGTGTGTAAGTGTAAGTGTCGAAGTGTCAGTGTTCAAAGGATTTTCCGGAAGAACCCTTCGCAATGCTTTCGGGAAAAAAAAACAGATCTGTACTCTTTGTATCCATCCAGGACCGCCACTAGGGTGGCAGCCTGGGCACTGTCCAGCTGCTCAGTGTTGCTGGACGACAGGTCATTTGGCATGTTCATGTTATTGGCAGGACCTGCACGTGGGTGCAAGCCTGAGCAGGAAGCAAAACTACTGCAGGTCCTTGCGCAGCTCCTCGTAAATAATCGTTTGCCCACCCCTCACTTCCTCACTTCTGTTTCGGTGGGAGGAGGTGAATCCACCTCGGGATGTCAAATTGACTGCATTGTCAAAGGCACTAGGTTCCGCGTATGGCCCTCTCCAGGCAGTTCTGGCTTCCTGGTTTGTGAAATGTGCAAAGTTGTGTGCGTCCTGCAATCGCATCCGAAGGTGCTGAACTCTCCAATGTACGGGAGATTTTCAACGACTGCATTCTCGAATTCATTGAGTCAAACTCCTGCAGTTCTATTGACAGCTGGATTTCCTCGCCAGCGAAGTGGTCAGGATCAGATGCAGGACTAGTGATCGTTTTTCACTCACCAGCGAGCTGCCTTGTGACGAAATGTCTCCAACCATCACGAGAGTGCACCGTCCTGCTGTCTACTTGAGCCTTGAAGGAAAGTTAACAGAGAACCAATCAGGGAGCGGCTGTTTGAAGTCGACAATCATGAGGACGGTGGTGACCAGAAACGGTTACATGGGCAACCGCCCTCACATGTCCCACCGCTACGTCATTCGGGGGTAGATGGTGGAGCCACCAAGGGGTAGCAAGCTTGTAACACTCCTCAAAGGCATTATAGGCTGCATATGGGCGCCTCCAAGCAACTCGCTTGCATCTGCAGTGGGTTTGGCAGGAGAGCGCAGTGCATTCGCCAAATCCTGTGTCCTATGTAGCGAAGGTTTCCTGGGAGGACAAGGCTGCATAAGGCCTTACATCCTACAAAAGCCTCCTCTCGGATTTCTCGCAAGTTAGGCGTGTGATGAGTGGTGTCAGATGAGTGGTGCAAGACAGGTGGTGTAAGATGAGTGGTGTGAGATGAGTGGTGTAAAATGAGTGTAAGAAAGGTGGTGGAGGCGGAGCGGCGGGTGCAGAGCGAAAAACAAGAACCCCACATGGTGATGTGGGAAAAAACAACAAAAATTGAGTGACGGGTGGCCTTGTTTTGGGTTTGGGTTGTTTTGCGGTTGGAATGGTGGGCCTCACTCTCATTGATTTTCTGTTTTCATGCATTTGCCTCTATTTGCTGTTTCAATCAGGCCGATTGCGGGAGAAGGGCAATGGCAGCATGCAGTGCAAGACACATTTGAATGAAAATACTATGGGCCCTCATGTTGCGTTACCGCAAAACTACTTGCTCCGTGCAAGGTTGACGGATGAAAACAACATTCTTTGTGGTTGTCAATTTTCAGCCATCGTTTGTATTTTTGCCCAGTGGGTCGTGTCGAACGGTTCCGGGCACATTTTCGGGTTCGTTCATGTCATTTGACTCGACTTCGATCCTTCGCCGCTTCATTGTTTGAGCCCCATACGAACTGGATGTTCACATCATCAAGAGATCCGAATGAGGTCGCCACATTTTGCACAAATGCCATTTGCTATGAAAACCCCTTGACGTGCGACAGCGCATGGATTCTATTTTCAATATTCACAGTTTTTTGGTTCTCAAAAAAAACGAGTAGCCATGTTTCAACACAACCATCGAACCTGAATCGAACCTGTTCCGTAACCTTGCACGGACGCTTCCAACAGCGCTGAAGTCCGACAGGCATGCTGCTGGCATGAAGTGTTGGATGTGCATTCTTGCGAGCAACATTCTCTGTGGATTGTCACATGATTTCCTGGAACCGTCGCCTGGATGCCTGCGCTTTTTGAATCAATTGGCTTCAGATCATGAGACAGAGAGGCAGACAGTTTGATTGCTTTGAAACAGTTCATTGAGTTCTGCAGCAAAGTTTGGCAACTTTGCTTAATTATGTTCCATTCATGTATGCTTTTGTTTCAAAACTTTCCGATTGAAAGTGATCTTCTTGCAAATGGATTGAATATATAAATATACAATCGTGCTCTTCTGTTTGAGACGAAATGGGACAAACTTTCTATGATTCCTTTTTAGGAACAGCTGGTGAAAACAACACCAAAACTACCTTGTGGAGGCGAAATTTGCAAAATTTTGTGCGGCACAGCTTGGCAGAGTCCATGGATTGTGCATCGGCGGCCATTGCCAAGGCAACGGTTGAGGTGCCTTTCTTGATTACAAAGTAAAACATCCAAACAATGAAGTGAGACCCTCAACATTGATGCATTGCATCGATGCTGCCTGAACTGAGGATGCCCTACTGTTATCACGGTTGGCCGAAGAGGCAGCACAGTTGAGTTGTAGGAAACTATCACAAGTGTTTGCCAAGAGGTGATGGTAGCAGACACTTGATCGCCATTGCAGCTTCATCAGTGCGACTGATTGCCAGAAGTCATCAACCGCTCAGGTAGCGCAACACCCCAGGTGCATGCAAGAGCTGGACACGAAGTCAGAGGCATTTTGAACAGTTCACTTCAACTGATAGTAATGGTTGGGCCAAGAAACCCAATGTGTTGCAGCGTTGCAAGGCCGAGACGCGTTGTGCACAGAAGTGGTACAAGATCGGAATTCATGTTCTTGTTGTGTCTTGGTCAAAGCATATTTTGGTTGTTTTGGGGTTGTTGCTGGCTATAGACGGATATTTTCAATTCCTTTTCAGCATACCTGATAATAAACGACTTCATGGTCAGCTCTGGTTGGCACTGCTGCACCAAGGTGCATGGTTTACAAGAAGCCGCAGAACAGATGTGGCACCGTGCCAAAGCCATTCGCACGGTGACGGGCGCCACCATTGGATGGACGAGCCTCTTAGAGACGCCGACTGTCTGGGTTTGGGGCTTGGCATTCGGCTTGGTGTCTTTTTGGTCCGGCTCGGTGGCAGCTGAGGTCTCCAGTTTGGAAAGCATGCCTTTTTGGGATTGTTCCACCTGGCCATTCCTTGCCAGCCTAGAGGCCAGAGCGGTGTGGATCAGCAAGCTTTCCTCAGCAACGACTCTTCGGGCTGTCACTCTCCGGCTTTCTTATGACAAATGGCCTCTTCAAGCTGGAGTCTTTTTGTATCCAAAACGTGCTTCTGCTACTATGCTATGCTACTAGGAGCTCTAATTTTTGTGTTTTATAGTAGCTGCTTCCTTTTGCTTCGTTGGCGACAAGGCAGCAAGCTCTGTCATTCTGGATGAAGTCCAGAAAGCAGCACAGTTCACGGCGGCTTATCCATATCTCAAGCTACTTGGCAGACCTCACGCAAACAAGTTTTTTTCTTTTGCTGCTTCTCCTTGCTCTTCTACCCTTAGATAACGTTCCGCCCTCAATTACATTTATTTTCCCTTCTGTAAATGTGAGCATTTGCCTAGTGCTTAGTTACTTACACTCGCGAAAACTAACATTTTAGGCAAAAAAATAACTTTCTTTTTTTGGTACATGTTAGTCTAGATTCGGAAGTGCCTCTTTTGAGACTAACCTAGACCAACATCAGAGAGCCCCCAGCCCTATGTGGCGTGGTCTATGTTAGCTTCCACATGGCTATGTTGACCCTACCGACGCGGTCTATGTTAGCCTCCTTTTGGTTATATGCCAGATTGCAGTTGGTCTATGTTAGTGTCACATTGGACCATGGACTGAGAGTGGGAATGTTCTATGTTAGTGTATGGCCGGAAATGGCCCCAACGTAGGGCCATTACCGTTTCCCCAGCAAGTCACCGTTTCCAGCGGTCCATGTTAAATAGCACCTGGATTTGGATTTTGGTCTATGTTATTTTTCACCAGAGTAATGGTGTGCATATTGCAAAGTGTGAATCCACTGTGCACAGCATCCCAACACACTCATAAATGGTATGGTGCCATGTTCTTCGACTTCGTCTTCACGCAAAGACAGCATCTATCTACTTTGTCCACATTTGCCAGGATTCCTGGATTTACCATTTAGCAACTCACACATCCGCCACTATTAGCATTCTTGGGTCCATTTCTGTTTTTCTCTAAGTGCGCGATGTTTGGACGTGCTTTCTTTTGGATGGTTTGGTTGGCTTCACCTTGGCCACTGGCCTAGAGTGCGCTACTCTTGCTTTTGGACTGTCGTAGGCGTAGGTGGCTGGAGATTCATCTGCTTTTGTTTGTTGATGGAAGCTTTTGTTCCGCTACCAAGCTCTTTTTGTTGTCCAAGCTTGTGTCCAGTGTCCTGGCTCTTGGGTTTCTTATTCGTTCAAGCAGCCTAGCAAGATAGGCAAAAACACACACACAGTTGGAATTCAAGCTTGTCGAGCGTAGCTGCTTCGCATTACTGGATCAAGTGTTTGTTCTGGATGTCCATTAGCCACTATATTCTTCTGCAGCTGGACTGATCAAACTAACATCGATTTGGCTTGATGACAATATCTCCACTCACTGTTTTCCAGCTGCCCTTGCCAAGAGTCATCCTTCAGTGAAAGGAATATAATATAAGCAACATGTTATATTATGTATAATATGCACATCAGTAATATACATATATTCATGGGAGCAAAGAATCAAGTTGGGTCTCGCGGTGCGACTTCAGTGAAACACAAAGTTTGCCTGAGAGTCATCATTGTCAGATTGAGTTTGCCTTTTTCGCATTCAGTTAAGGACCGGAGGTGTTTGGCAGGACATTTTTCTGTACCGAGGAGTGGATCAGTGTTCCGGATGACGCAGCTGGTTTCTTTTCTTGGGCTTGGCATAGGGCTTGCCCAAAAGAGCAACAATCTTTGAATCTGGGGACTTTCACGTTCTTTCAGGCGATTTGCAAGGTACTGAGCCTGACAACTACAACAAAGCGCAAGCAAAGGTTGCTTGCATGAACGGTGCCAAGTGATTCCTTCAAACCTAATGGCACAACTAATTAATGACTGTATTTCATGTTATTTCGTCCAAGAGAGAAAGGGTTGAGTGTAGTCACGCTTCTCTCCACTTCCCGGACTGACCTGATAGCTCCCTCTACTTCCTTTGTGCCGCGCATCGGCCATGCTGGGAGGCCACGACTGGAACTCCACGCTTTGTGACGCAATGCCCAGAACTTGTCGTTTGCTGTTGCCTGAGCTGCCTACGAAGCCCGGGGTCCCCTATGCCACGGCCACACCGGCCTGTCCAAGTCCAAACATGGGTGCCTGGTGGATTTTTGGTTATACTCTTCTTAAGTATACATGTGGAAGTTTCTTGTGCCTTGTTCGTAGATAAGAAAGCCAGCTGCTAGGAGAGTTGTTCAGGCAAAAGAAGTGAAGAATAGGGGTCTGGGGGCTGGGAGCAGAGCTGGCACGAAGGGGCTTCCGTGCAAAAATGCATCAATTTTTATCATCCTGGGTGCGTTGAGGGAGGCTGAATGATGCTGGTAATGGGTTCACTGAGATACGGCATTTCCAGCATTCGTGAAAGATTATCGATGAGAGGCGTCCTCCCGACTTCCCGTGCCGTCTCCGTTTTCAGAGCCTAAGGCCCCGTTTTCGCACCGACGAAAACGCCAGGTTTACAATGAAGAGGTCGTGATCTTCCGCTCGGAGCCTGGGGCCACTGTTGGTGCTCATTGCGGCTCGTCCAATGCCATCATCAACCTGCACCTGACACTCAAAGGAGGACGTGGAACATCGATTGCTGTGGGTGATGAGCGAATCTTCTTGGAGGATGGCAAGGCGGTTTGCTTCCAAGACAGCTTTTTTCATGCTGTGCAGCATGAAGTGTTTGGAGAGGACAGTTTCTCAGGCTTTCGTTCATGCATTTACTATTTTGGGTCAAAGTGCAATCACTGTCCTTGCAAGCACACTCACCCTGCAGCTTCAGGACGAGCGAATTTCCATGGTTCTGCGGGTCATGCATCCGCAGATGAGTCTGGATGTCCTGGAGAAGATTCAGAGCACAGACATGGCTGCTTGGCAGGCAATGCAGGCAAGACGACAAGGCTTGTACCCAGGATCAACATTCTACATATATAAACACTTCAAGCTTCTTGAACTTGCTGTTGACAAAGCATGACTACAATCCCCAAGCAATTATGTGCGGCACGTACACACACCCACACCCCCACACCCCCACACCCCCACCCCCACACACACACACAAACACACACAGACACACAAGCGCAACGCGCGCGCGCACGCACACACGTGGCTGTGCATGCGAACATCTGCAGGTTCCAGATTTGCGGGCCTTCAGCAGCTCGGAGAGCCTCTTGCAGGAGGTTTATCGACTGCGCCAGGCTGGTGGCGGTTTGGTGAAGCCCAACCAGCAGTTTTCTCGTGTTTGCCAAACAGGTTTGCACAGCGAAGTGCCAACAGGTTTGCACATTGCAGATGGAAGTACGTAAAGCTTGGTCTGCAGTCATGATGTGTGTATACACTAGGAGCTCAAACTCACTGGGCATTTATTTGCCGGACGGAGTCAGCTCAGTTGAGATGCACATTTCTCGGGGCATTTGATGCTGTCAGCATCGCTACCCGTTCAATTGAAACACTTCTCCAGGGAAGCTGCGCTGATCACCACATTCCATTACAAATTGGTGGCCTCCTTGAATAAACAAGGCCTTTCTGTAGGTCCAAACCTGATGCTTGCAAGTGGCCAAAGTTGCAACAGCTGCAGCACCGCAGGAATACAGAAAACTTGCATTGCTTCTTGGCTTCGGAATCAGTGCAGGCAAAAGTGTGCTGGAGTGGTGCGGTCTCACCAGCACTTGCTTTTTCTGTCCAGGAACACTATGGAACACTCCATCTCTTGCGTACTAGCAGTGTTGGGTAGCTTTAGCGATGGAGCTCCTCATTGGACGACCGCTCTTGGGTTCTTCATCTTAGGAAAAGTCGTCTCAATGTGGTTCAAGGCATCAGGTAAAAAGACAGACGAACAACCGTTCGTCAGGGGTAAGCTCCATTTGGATACATTTCCTAGTGCAGAAGACAATTCTCAGCCCACAGAGCTGGTGGCAGCTGGACACCTGAGGATTTCTGGTGATGGCACAACCAAGTGCGCAAGTCCTCTTTGAGATGAGTTACCAAGTCCTCTCGGATTTGTCGCGGTGCACTATCGTTTGTAAGACGAAGGACGTTGGAGGTCCAGCCTCAAGACCTGTTTGAACCGAGGCACCTCCAAGACTTTTAATCTTTTACAATACTCTGGCAGCCAAAATCTGGTTGCAAGAATATGGTATCTTTGTCAAATCTTGAGGCTCCAAAAGGGAGCGGTAGGTAGTAGGGCGAAGTGGAACTCTTTGAAAAGACTTGTGGCATAGGTTTGCAGCTTTGATCGTCATTTCTCAAGCAAATAGTGAACAAGAAAGGGAACATCAGACCTTTGAACCGAGTTGGAGCTTCCTACTTTTTATCGTGGATTTGCAAGGCCGAGTGCTGTGCTGTGTGAAAGGACCAGCTGCTGGGCTCGGTTTGCATCCGCTGGCCAGTCTCGAGCTTTGACGAAACCTAGCTGCGGCTTATCCGGAAATGAGTTGAATCTGTCCAAAGTGCCACTGCAGGATAGATCACATGGCCTCTAGTTTTGATTGGTTTCCGCAATGAAGAAACAATGAGTAGCCCGATGCACGCCAGCGAAGCAGTTGCGAAGCAGTTTCAGTCTTCAGCACGGCGCAAGCGGCGCTATGCGGCGATGGATGATGTGCATGACTTGGGGCTTGCTGGCCGTGTAATAGTTGTTGCTTCCTGCCTGGGATTGAGACCGGGAGTGCCATATCAGATCGGATTTGCTGTCTAAATGGCACTCCAATCTAAAGTTTTATTTTGTTCAATGTTTTGGAGCCAAGCAGTGAGGGCAGGTTCACCTGTCTTTGCTTCTGAACCTTATGTGAACGTGCTATTTTTTCGGTGGATCTGCTCAGGTGGAGAACCTATGTGACCTGCAAAACTTAGAACGACTGCAGAGAACCTGCAGAGCCTTTGGGGCTGAGCTGCGGCTGGTACAGGATGATGGGACTCGGCGGCAGGACCGTGACAGTCCAAACTGTGGAGAGTCCATGATCTTGTTCAGCTTCGGTCCCCATGTGACACACCCGCCTTTCTTACCTCGGCTAGGTAGATCAGCTTCAATGATAATGATGAAGCTCCGCCGAAGTTCCGTTCAGGACTCGAGATGTCGCAAGTCCCTAGACTTGGGAGGCTACGCTCCAAGCATTCGGGTCTTCCACACCACCACCGAGTGTGCCAAGGCGGGAGCAGACATCGCTGGCACCTTCCCGTGAAGGGGCGTGTTTTGTCCAATCAGGAGTTGGGGGCCGAAGGTGCCCGGTCCTTCGCTACAGCCCTGGACAAGGAGAGTGTTCCTTGGGACGACCAGAGCTTTCTTGGAGGGTTCTTTGACAAGAATCTTTGACATTTGCAAGATACAACGCAGTAGTGGGCAGTGCTTCCTTGAGATTTGGTGCATGTCAGCAGCGCAACGTTAAAGCGTTTTGGCTCTAGTCGCATACTTGTTGAATGAAAGCGTTGCTCTCCTCACCTTTTCAGGTGAGCATCTACAATCTTCGATTCGAACGTGATCGCAGACTAGCGCTGTGGTTTGGCCAGGAGAGGGTGAGACCAACCGGAACACACCTTTCAGACATTTTCAGATGATTTCAGATGTATTTCAATATATATATATATATATAACCCGGCAATCAGCCAAACAACACCGAAAGACAGATCCGGAACCGGTCCATCATGCATCCACAGTCTAGCAACTGTTACGCCCCGAAATTGAGGCCACTCACCAAAGGTGAAGTGATCGGACACTGGGAACTCTGTATGGGAGAAGGAGTTGGATTCACACTACAAACATATGTATATAGGTTAAAAATCATTTTAAAGCCTTTGTATTGGACGCACCTTTCATCAGCTCCTAATCAATATTTGTCATCAGCTCCTAATCAATATTTGTAAATAAACTGTTTCCTAGGGAGCTGGCTTGAAATTGTATAGATAGAACCCTTTGGTTTGTTATTTTCCTCCTTTCCAGCAGCTTGGATTTGAATGTGCCTCAGATTCAATCTGGAGGTTAAACTTATGGGATTAGACCAAGGTTCATCTTGTTCTGACTGACACATGAGTGCCAATATATAAGTACAATATTTTGAGCTTCTTGAAATCTCCAGCAGGTTCAGCTAATCCCTAAGAGCTTTCGCCATGTTGTACCGCAGACGGATGGTACAAGCTGCACCTGCAGCACAGTTAGCAGTTGGCAGAAGTTCCAGGAGCAAAAGTAGCTAGAGTCGAAGTTGAAGTACAAGTGGCAGTCAGTAGTGGCTGAAGTTGAAGAAGCAGAAGTGGCTAGACAAGAGGAAGTACAAGCAGAGACATAGTCTCCGTAAGCTTGTGTATGCAGGGACAAAGTTCCCATGGAGCCTCACAACCGCATTTGCCTTCACTTCCTGACCAACCCTCCTGCGAGATGGGTTATGGATTGGAAAGATGCCATGGAATGGCCCCGATTTGTGGCATAACACGTCAGTTTTGGGAAACAGTCATAGTTATTAGCACAAATTGGGGACAAAAGGCTGAAGGCTTGGAAACAAAAACTAGACAACGAACGGCCCGGGAGCGTTGAAACAGCATATAAGTTTTGTTGTTGTTCAGTATGTCTCTATTGTGTATCACCATGTGTTGATCCCGCATCTTTTGACTTGTCGCATCGTCCGGAGGTGTGTGCACCAGGCCTCATGGACAATGCCAATCATCCCGCTCTCCAGCGACACGCCTCATGTACGCCACCATGTTTCCCTTCCAGCATGGCACGGACCCACGCAAACGCACTTTCCACCGAGACCGCGCAAAACCGCATGGCACAGCGACATCACAGACGTAATTCAATGGTGTGCCACAGACCAAGCCGCCTTACGCCAGCAGGTTTCCCATTCCCAAATGGCAGACGACGCCACGCAAAGCCGCATGGCGCAGCAACATCACGGACGACTAGGTACAACAATGTAACACCATGCCTCGTGGACACCGCGAATCAGCCCACTCCCCAGTCCCCAGCAACGCACCGCGTTTACGCCATCATGTTTCCCTTCCGCCAATGGCAGGGACTCACACATGGCACAGCGACATCACAGACGTAATTCAGCCAGACGGTGTGCCACAGACTAGATACAACAAGTTGCAGTGGTGTTAGTGGACACCCAATCATCCCGCTGCACAGCAACACGCTGCGCTTACGCCAGCACTCAGGCAAACGCACTTTCCACCGAGGCCGCGCAAAAATGTAAGGCACAGCGACTTCAAAGACGTAATTTCGCCGCACGGTGTGCCACGGACTAGACGCAACAAATACAAAGGCCACAGGCTTCCCATCCTACATGTGTGCATAGTTGCCAGTTCTGAGGGCGCAGCTCCCACAAGTGCTTCCCGTATTACATTTGCGCCACAAAGTTGTCGCTTGCTTCCCGTGCGGCTTCCCCTGTACCACAATTAGACTGCAGAGTTGTCAGTTCTGGGGCCAGCTTGCACTACAATACAAAGTTGCCAGTTCTGAGGCCACGCTCTCAAAGGCTGCTTCCCACACTACATGTGTACTACAAAGTTGCCAGTTCTGAGGCCACAGCTCCCACAAGCTGCTTGCCGCACTACATTTGTACTAGAAATCTGCCAGTTCTGAGCAACATTTCTCATCTCCAGCTGCGTTTTCGACAACAACTACACACTTTGGCAAATTCAACGCTTGTTTTCGCCGACAGTTGCACTTGTTGGCAATTTCAACTTGCGTTTTCGACGACAGTTACACACACTGACAACTTCAACCTGCGTTCTTGAAAAGTTACACGCACTGGCAATGCCCAGCTTGATTTACCATGTCCGACAACACAGTTATACACTTTTTGGCGATCTTTACTGATGTAGCCAAAAATTTGCGTTTCACCTCACTCTTGTTTGAGCGTTGGACACGCGTGACCCCTGCAAAGGGGTCATCCGGCGCACCTCACGTTTGAGCATCCGTCGTGTGGGATTCCTGCAGAGGGTCACGTTTCGCAAGCCCTGTCCGGCCAGGCCGCCGGGTAAGAAAGGATAGATGTAGATAGCGGAGATGTGCCACGCGCGCACGCGCGCAAACTCCGATATTCTTTATTGTACTTGAGCGTGTAATATATTTGCTTCATGTTTACTGAAGACTGAAGCAAGACCCCAGCGAAAGTTACGTGAGATGTTTTGCAGGTGTTTGAAGCAAGATCCCAGCGAAAGTGACATGAGATATGACTGAATCAAGACGCCAGCGAGGTATGTTTTCTGGAATAAGTTGCAGATGTACCTCTGTACAGATGTATATATATATAATATATATTGTTTGTTTGTACAGCCCATATATACTCCGCTAGGGTACTGCAGACACGTGACTCTTGACGTGTTTTGGCTCAAGGGAGAAAAGGCGTTCCGAAACGTCGAAACCTTGTTTTCATGGTAGCGCGTGAGCCCGGTGAAAGCGAAAGGGACCAAGCGCTGCGCATCAAGGAGGAGAGACATAGTAAGGTAGAGACCTCCGAGGAGGAGGATCAGGAAATCCCGGGAGCGGCCGCTTCGGCCGCCCCGAGTGGAAAGGAAGAAAAGGAGGAGGAGCCTTTGCCAGCCACATCAGCGGCGGGATCAGCCGCGAACACCACTCCGGCGGTTGTAGAAACTGCCGAAACAACATCAGCGGTTGAAGGAACCGCAGAAACAAAGGAAGAAGAAGAGACCACAAAAGAGAAGGAAGGAGGAGAAGAAGAAAAGCCTGAACAAGACCCCATAGTAGAGCCAGAGGCTGAAGCGGTTGATCCAGCCGCACAGCCATCATCTGGCCGAGTGATCGCCGACTTCATTACATCCCCAGAAGGTATCAAAACAGGTTGGGAGGTTCGTGGCATCCACGCCAAATATACCCCCGCCAAAGTCGATCCCAAAGCACCTTGGAGGGTGAAGAAGAATATTTGGGGACAGGTCAAGAAGCATCCAGAGCCACAATCCGGATTTCGACTTCGAAGCAAGACCTCGCTTCAATACCGGAGGCTCAAGGACCTGGTCAGGTTGCAGAAGAAGAAGGGTGTCATCACAGAGGATCTGAGGAGGCGCATCAAAGAGTTCGGAAAAGGTCGCACTCCGCAAGAGATCAAAGAAGAGCGGGAAGAGCAGAGGATCCGCAATCAAGAGAAGCGGACCAAGAAAAGGAAGACCTCGGAAGCGGCTGATCCAGCCGAGGAGGAGGAGGTCGAAGAAGAAGAAGAGTCGGTGAGCCATCCAAGTCCGGTTCGACAGCCTCGAACACCGGACGGGCCACCGCCGGCTAAGCGACCGCAAACCCGCGACACCCAGCGGGGACGGGCGGTCTGGGGGCGTGCACTGGAGTTGAACCTCCGCATCGTCGCCCTAGCCAACGAACGGGCCCAGCGATTGACAATAGAAAATTGGAAATTAGAGAGCCCGTTCCAAGTGCGAAAGTTTGCGGCCGACGAACTTTGTGAGCAACGAAACCTCAAAGGTACCGTTGCATCGGCCGCCATTCGCGAATTGTGGAAGACCCCCAACGAACAGGGAAAAAGAGGATCCAACGAGGCCTGTAGTTCTTGTGACGAACGGCGGCAGGCACAGCTGCCGGTGGTGAAGGACTACATCAAACGGCGAGGACTTAAGGGACCTGCCGTTCTTGGATCGAGCGCCAAGTCCAAAGCGGCGCCAGCATTGGGCCTGACACCTGGGCCGAAAGTGAAGGCCAAATCAAAGGCCGGACCAAAAGGAAAGGCCAAACCATCCGCCGCACCAAAAGTAGCGGCTGAAACGAAGGCCACAACTGTGGGTCGTCGCCCGGAAGAACTCACACGGACTACTGTTGAAGTCCGTGGAGTGCCAAAACCTTCCGATCCTTGACCGGGCGAACCGCCCGCGACTGCCGCTGGAAAAGGAGTGAGCGGCAGCAGCAGCAGGGGTTGAGGGTAGGAAACCATGGAACAACAGATCCAACAACTGAGTGAAATGGTACTTCAACTCCAACAGAACCAAACGAGGTTGGAGCAAGAGAATCAAGTGTTGAGGGAGTCTCAAGGCGGGGTATCAATGCTAGCCTCAGCTGTAGGAGAATTGGCTAAGAGCCTTGAGAAGAAAGAAGATAGGAGGAAGACCCAAATCCTTATGGACACCAAAGGTTTGGGACGCCCCGAGAGTTTTGGGAATGTTGAAGGGGAGTTTCGAAAATGGGCCAGGAGCATCGACAACCTGTTCAGAACTACTTTTGGGAGAGAGTTCATCGAAATCCTAGAGTACATTTTGGAACAGGAAGACGCGATTGAGATGACTAAAATAGAAGAAGAATTCGGGACTGGCACCGTGACTGACATCGGTGACCTTGAGGATAAGGCTGATCAGATCCATCGCGTCCTCCTGACCCTGACCTCAGGTGAAACAGAGGATTTGATGGTAGGAGCTTCAAATGGGTTTGAAGCATATCGGCGAGTTCACCGCCGTTGGGATCCCCGAACCTCGGGACGGAAACGCAATATACTTCGAGCAATTCTCCAACCGGAGAGAGTCAAGACATGGGCCGCGGTGAGGCCAGCGATCGAACA